ATGGTGGGAACGTTTGGAACCTGATGAATACATTTAATAGCAGAGAATGGTACACTTCAGATTACTAAGATGTTAAATTATACCTATAAATAAAAACAATAAATTGCATCAATTGTTTTTCTACACTGCATAGAGCCGTATTAGTATTTATTTATTAAATATATGAGAGGATGAGGGAATCCAGTCATAAGGCAGGGAACCAGTTATTTTTATTTTATATCTGTTATGTAAGATCATTCCTTTAAGAACCATCAGTAATTCAAACTGCTTTTAAAAGTGAATCATTTTGATATTAAAATTTGAGTTTTGACATTTTAAAAAAAACAGTTGATTTCTTATGAAGGGACTTTTAAAGTTCAGTTTTAAAAATGGTTACCTAATCAGAAAATATGCATTATAGGAAAGTAACACTAATCAACAAATCAAGAATTTTCAATGAGATAATTCCTATTTTTTAAAAAAAATTCTTCGTGTATGTGTATGCTGGGATCAAACTCACGATCTTGTGTATGTCAAGCAGGCACTTACGCTGCTGAGCTAAACCCCCAGCCCCAGTTCTTAATATTTTAAAAGAAAAAACCTGAGTAGAATTGTTTTGTAAGATGAGCATGGTAATGCACACCTGTTGTCCTAGCTTTCTAGGAGGCCGGGGCAGGATGATTCCAAGTTTGAGCCTAGACAACTTAGCAAGAAGGTGTCTCCAAATTTTAAAAAGGACCAAGAATGTATGGGAATGTAGTTAGTGTGAAGGCCCCTCGTTTAATCCCCAGTACCACCAAAAAATAAAACCTTCGTGAAAGCATTAAAACTGTTTATACTTTTCTAAATGATTAAACTCCATAATGAATTAACATGAAAACATGATAAATGCTTTTGACAAGAGACTAACAGTAGAGATGGACTTAAAGAAACCTTTAAAAGATCTCAGGAGCTGTTTTAATCCAAGTTTGCTGGTATTTTACAATTCACAGGATGTGGGCCTCAGAATAGGTGCCAGCTGTAAACAATTTATATGGTCATAACTATGTACCAACTGAATAACTCTTGTTTAAGTTTCTAAAGTTCATCGATATTTTTATTTATTTGTGAAGGGTTTCCAGAAGGCACTGTTTTTCTGGGAAAGTGTTCATTGTTTTGGTTAGGATTTAAAGGCTGATAGTGAAGTTTGGTGCCTTTTGCTATTACACCTAAAAATTCAGATGTGTAACACCAGTCTACTGTTTCCCTTGGGAATTACGAGGGGGTCTGTCTATAAGAAATAATACCTACTACTAGTAGGAATCAGCTTACCGGTCAGTAAGACCTGTGCATGCTTTCGACATACCAGTGTAGAATTCTATAAAAGTGAATTGATGCAAGTAGATTAGGCTTACGGCCTAGGTGAGGCCTGCTACTTCCCTGCTAGCCCTATCTGACATATCTTGGGACTATTGTGTTCAGAGGTGCGGCTTACAAGGCTGGAAGGGAAAACAAACTAGCGAGTGGACACCAGTTGTCATAGTTGGGGCTTCTATAACAGATACCATAAAGTCGATGGTGTAAACAATAGACATTATTTCTCAGCTCTAGAAGCTGGGAAATCAAAAGTCATAATACTGGCAGCTCCGTCTCTGGCTGGAGTTGGCTTCCTGGTTTGTAATGACTGCCTTCTCAATGTGTCCTCTCCAAGTGGAAACAGCGAAGGAACCGTGCTCTCATCAGTCTTTTTTTGTAAGAACAATAGTCATCATGAGGACTCCATTCACACCCGTGAATTAATTAGTTCCCCAAGTCCCCAACCCCAAAACCATTACATTAGAGATTAGGGTTTCAACATAGGAATTTGGAAGGATAGAGACACTGGAACCATAGCACCAGGTCCAGGGCTCCTTCCATCCATTTAGTCAACTACTGTATACACTGACATGAGAACTCCAAAGAATGGTTGGTGTGCCCCTGGGAGGTGGGCTATTCTGGACATTTGAGGAAAACAGAATAAACAAAAACAACAAAACCTTCTGTAGAGGCTGATCTTTCAACACAGTGACTCTGCCTCTCACTAACTGCCCACTCAGAGCGGTGGACTCTCTTACGTTTGGGAGAACTAAAAAAGGGTTTGGGCTTGGGGTTGGAAAAAAAGCAAAAATTCTTTTTTTCCCAGAAACGTAATAAAATACCATCTACTTTGCGTGTGAAGAAAGACAGTGATTTTAGCTGTCAGTAATGCAGCCTGTTTCTGATATATTCTGGCCGCAGGCATGATGGCATCTCTACTTGTGATCAGCCTGTTTTGTACTTTACTAAGGCATGTGCATGATTCCCAAACACTCAAGAGTTTTCTGCAATTGGTGATGTTTATGTCACCTTTAGGGTGGAATAAACTGTGTAAATATTTTAAGTCTCATGCTAATAAATATTAGTATTGTTACAGGGAAGCTTGAGCTCTTGTTCATAGGTTAACAATTTAATTAAGAGACATACAGTTTATTTTTAGAACTTAATGTTCAATGACTTTAATCACAGTGACAAAATAATAGCATAGAAATGAGAACTGTCTAGATGCCTAGACACACATACTTGAATATATGTTTTGCATTGTTTAGGATTCCATGTATGATACCTGCTCATTTGCTTTGTTTATTTTTGGTACTAGTGATCAGGCCTAGGGCTTTCTTTGTACATGTGAAGCACGTGTTCCATCACTGAGCTATACTGCCTGGTGCTACCATTTGCTGATGTAGTTTTATCAGTAACATAATGAAAAAAGATCTTTGTAATTAACAAATATTCCCCCATTCCTAAATATGTTTGAGCTTCCTATTGATTTTTTTTTTTTTTTTTTGTCTTTTTCGTTTTTATCGGTACCAGGAATTGAGCTCACGACCACACACTTGCAAGGCAGGCACTTATGCTGCTGAGCTAAATCCACAGCCCCTAGCTTCCTATTGATTTTATTTTGTAGTTCTGAGTACTGGGGATTGAACTAGGGCCTTCACACTGACCTACCTCCCCAGCTCTATTTTTAATTTTTAATTTTGAGATAGTATCTCAAAATTACTAAGTTACTAAATTGCCTGGGCTAAGCTCAAACTTGAGATTCTCCTGCCTCAGCCTCTCACAGAATTAGATTTACTGATTTGCTTCCTTTTGTGTGGTCACTTACTTTACCTAATGGATATAAAAGAAAGAATCATGTGAATATTAAGTTCAAGATTTTTGAGATTGCCCCATATCATATTACCGTTTTTATTTTACTCTTTTAGATAAACTTGTGCAGGCAGTTATTGGAGTAGAAACTACTATTATAATGCCAAGTACCGTAAGACTTTGCTTCTTTTAATATCAGAATAACACATTACTGGAGGATTCTTTTGAGAAAACAACTGCAAAACCTGGACTTAAATCAAAAAGCAACCATCTGGAGGCAACTAAGGGTAAACAGACTGTGGTGAGGAACACACAGTTGGAAGAGGAGAGGAACAGAGCATTAAAGAAAAGCTACTTTAAAGCTGTTTTGTAGAAGTAAGTTGGCTTTTTCACTGATTTTATTTTTAGGCTAAGTACCGTCTATACTGAGAGGAATATAGTGGAAAAACAGTAGACTTTCTAGCTAGGGAAACAGAAGACTGAAACCAAGGAACCCTGATCACTGAGGTAGAGGACGAATCCCAGAAGAAGAGCTGAGGGTGGAGAGGTTCTCAAGTTCTGTACCCTACCTCCAACCTCTCAACTGTATGTGAATGTGATAGCTCAGAACCTAAAGATGAAAAATCTGAGCTGGCACTGGAGCTTTTTCCCAAAAGTTTACAGTTCAAGTTAAGGCAAGTGAAGATATTTGTCTACTAAAATAAAAAATAACAATCATTGGAGAAAAAATAGGCTTTGCATAAAATAATTTAGAATATTCAGGACATAATTCAAAATTATCCTACATATTAAAGATCAAGAAAATGGAACATATGTCAGTAGTAAAGAAAAATCAAATGAGCCCTACCTTGGGGTGAATGAGATATTGGAAATAGTACATAAGAATTTTAAAGATACTATTATAATACCTTCTATAAAGTAAAATGGCATACTTCTAGAATGAAAAAAAAAAAAAAGAAAGAAAAGCTTACCAGATAAACCCAACTCTTCTTTCTCTCTCTCAAATGGAAATTTTAGAAAAGTGTAATACTTAAAATAATACAAGATGAATTTAACATTGGAACAAAAATGTCATAAGGAAAAGTAAATGAACTTGAAGATAAAACAGCAGAAATGAGCTAGTGTCAAAACCAGAAAGGAAATATGCTAGAGCACAATGATCACAGCCTCTGGGATCCCCTAGGTGATGTCAAACTGTCCCGCATGTGTGTAATTGGAATCTCAGAGGGAGAGAAGGAAAATGGGATAGAAAAAATATTTGAGAATTTAATACATAAATTTAGCTGCTAGCAGTGGCACATACCTGTAATCTCAGCTACTTGGGAAGCTGAGCTCGGAAATCCAAAGTTTAAGGCCAGCCTGGGCCACTTACTAAAATCTCTTCTAAAAGTAAAAGGGCCGGGCTAGGAATGTTGCTCAGTGGCAAAATTTCCCTGGGTTCAAAGCAAAGTGCTAAAAAAAAAAATCCCAAATTTGATGAAAAACAGAAATCTATAGTTAAAAGATACTCAATTGATATACAACAGAATTAACCCAAAGAAGCTATGTTATAAGATACATTGTGGCAAAACTTCAAAACCAAAGATAAAGAGTAAATGTTGAAATAGGGGAAGAATAACACATTATACGAGACTCCATTTAATAACTGACATAACCTAGAAACTCTGGAGGCCAAAATAACAAATTTAAAATGCTAGGAAAAAAGAAAAAACCCCAGTCGATCCAAAATTCTCTATCATAGAAAAATATCCTTCAACAACAAAGGTCATTGTAGAGGTAGGGGTGATGATAGTGGTAATTCTACACGTTACGAGAGTTAATTTTATGTTGTGCTGTATGTCAATTAAAATTTTTAATGAAGATAAAAATAAAAGTTTTTTTCCAGATAAAACTCTTGAATCACCTGTACAAGGAATGTCAAAGGATGTTCTTCAAGGTTAAGAGAAATAATAACAATTGAAACTTTGGATTCCTATAAAGCAGGGATCATCAAATATGGAAAATACATGGACAAATGCAAAAGTCAGCCCCTGAGTTTCCTTCTTCTCTTCCTCCTCCTCTGCTCCTTCCTCCTTTTTGTTTTTCCTGGAGAAAGGTCTCACTATGTAGCTCAGGTAGGTGGCAGACTTGCAATGTAGCCCAGGCATATCTACTAGCATTTAAATAAATATTAACTGATTAAAAACACTACCGTGAAAATCCTGGCATCAACCTCTCCCCCTTGGTTAGCAGTTGAAAACCTGTTTAGAATAGAGTCCCGAAATAGACCATGCTGACATGGCTAACTGATATTTGACAAAAGAGCCAACATTATTTAATGGTGAAAAGACACAGGGTTTTTTCTTCTGTAAGGGTTACTGGAACAACTGGAAATCTGACGAAAAAAATGAATCTTGACACCTCTATTGTGCAAGAAAGTTAATTCATAATGGATTATAGACTTAAATGTAAGAGCTAAAACTATTAAACTTCAAAGGAAAAAATAAGATATCTTTATGACATATATATGGCATGGGTTTCTTAGACAGCTTCCAAAATTTTGATAAAATAGACCCTCAAAATTTTAAATATTTTACTGTTAAAAGGATGCCCAGAAATTTTTTAGGGTAATGGAACTGTTTTAAATCTTCATTGTAGAAGAGATTTAATGACAATAATGTTAGTACTTAGGTTCATCAAACTTTTCAAATGAATGAGTTTATTGTATTCAAATTATATCTCAATAAAACATGGAACTAGATTAGCTATAGATTTTTGACGCTCATGTGTCTTAGTTAATTTTCCCTTTAAGCAAAATAATTGATATATGAACTGTTTGCTTCTATTTCTTTGCACTTCCAAAGCAAAATAAAAAATAAAATAGAGTTGGGGTTAAATGGAAAATAAGACTACTTTTGTAACATTACCAGTCAAATAATAACTTTACTAAATAAAAAAGTTAATGGCTTTCATATTTTAAGGGTAAAAAACATTAAACAAAGAAAGGTTACCTGTCATTCCCAGATAATAGTTTTGAGGACTATTGCTAGAATTAAGGTCTCTATCCTACTCTCATTCAGTGACAACTACCTGGTCCCCAAGGGAGATGAAGACAAGTAAAATAAAAGATAAGATAGCACATTAGGACAAGCATAATCTTTGATCCTGTACCCCAGCTGAATCCCTGGTCTCAGTGCACCAAGCTGGACCCCATCAACCTGCTTGTTATGGGCAAAATCCCTCTATCCAAGCAGATACTGCATAAGTTTGTTCAGGGATTTCCCTCCTGTTAGGCAACAAAAGGTTGGGAATAATAAACTAAGGGTAATCTCCAGGGATCTTAGTTGAAGTCTGACCTTTTTTAATTTTCATAGGACCTGGGACTTGAGGCATGGCAAGGCAAGAACTGATGTCAGGCTCTGCCTTGCCTCTGTAGCTACCTGAAGACCCTATTGATTGAAAATCAATACAAAACTAAATGAGAGCCAGGCATGGTGATGTGCAAAGATTGGAGAAACTGAGGCAGGAGGATTGTCATAAGTTCGAGACCACCTTGGGCTACAAAGTGAGAGTCTGTCTCAAAAAGAAAAAGAAAAAGAAAGAAAAATAATAATAGTAAGTGAAATGCTCGGCTGCTAAGGCAGTGAGAGAAGAAACTAAGGAGAACAAATCTTGCAGATGCAAGGGCCACTTTATTCTCTTTACCTAATACACCAGTGCAGAAGGAATCATTGCTGTTTATCGGGAATCCTGGCAGTTCTTTTTCCTGGGATAGGAGGTTGCAGAGGCCTTCAACTCCCATAGCAAGTGAAGTCTTAGTTCATATCAGAAACACAATAATAGAGGTAATAGATTCTGAACAAAAACACCCCTTCACAGATTATCTGAAAGATCCATGTAAATGACCAGGGTTTTCTAGAAGGTGTACTTTATAGAAAAAAGTCAATTAATTTAATTTTAATTTAACTCTTTTAATTTCCTGTGAAAGCAGTTCTGTGGTTAGTGAAGAAAGGCTGTGTAACAAAGATAGTTTTTTATCCTCCCAGTCTAGCAGCAAGTAGAGACATGGGGGCAACACAGTGCATGTATTTTGCTTTGGAACTCTGAGCCTCTACACTTCTCGGTAAATAAAAGACGAGTCTGACAGGGAGAACTAAGGGTAATTATTTTAAAGATCTGCCTCAAATTATATCTTAAGCTTTTAAAAATAACAGCCTTGAACACTCAGTTATAAGAAAGTCAAATCATTATTTTTGTCTCTTTTAAACTTCTAATACACTGTATTCTGCTAGAATACTAAAGGAGGATATGCTATTGTATGTTTAAAGCTGGATGTGGTGATGCGCGGTTGTAATCCCAGCACTTGGGAGGTTGAGGCAGGAGGATTGTTGCAAGTTCGAGACCAGGCTGAGTTACAAGTGAACTCAAAGCCAACCTGAACTACATAATGAGAAAAAAGACACACAAAAATGTGTGTTAAGATACTATCTGTGTTTTTGGTATTTATTTTAGAGCATACTTCTGTTAATGTGGACTATGCTGACCATTATACATTGATTTGCTAGCCCTATAAAATTATGCATCAATAGTTAAACACTTCAAAAGTAGAATGGGGGTCCCCAGGACTATGGAAAGGGGAAAAAGATAGTTTCTGTTCAGTGGCTATAGTTTGTTTTGCAAGACAGCATCATCCTTTTACACAATAGTGTGCATGTGGTTAACTCTCTGTATACTTAACAATGGTTAAAATGGTAATTTTAAGTTACATATTTTATCACAATTTAAAAATTTTATTAAAATAATTGCATTTTTTATTTTGTTCAATTTTAAAATTTTATTCAACTTAAATTTTTAAAATGTAAAATTGTGAATTTGTTTGACCTCTAAAGACAAGGCAGAAGGGTATGGACAACTATTGTGAAGATAACAAGATATGCTATGGTAGCTATTGCTGTTTTCCTGGTATCCTGCTCTGAAGTTCTGTACCAATAATTCTGCTACATTGTTTTGATTGGCTTTGTTCTGTCTTGTTTTGTTGGATTTTGCTATCTTTAAACCAAAAAAATTTTTAAAACTTGTGAATTTAACTAAACTTTTAAAAAGACACTGAAATTATTTCTGTCCTCAAAATTAATTTTGAAAGTTCTTGGTGCAGTTTAATTTCTTAAAGTTATAGTGTCAAAGCAATAATTTATGTACAAAGATGCATTTCTGCTTATTGCACATGTATACACTGCATAACTGTATTTAGTTCTTACTACAGCCCTGTGAGGTAGATCTTATATTTCTGTCATTTTATTACAGACATTTGTGAATTACAAGAATTTGAAGGAACTGCATGTTGAACACCCTTACACCTACTGACTATACTCTGCAACTAATATTTTGTTATATTTGGGGTTTTTTTGTTTTTATTTTTTTTTTTAATCAGTACCGGGGATTGAACTCACGACCACATGCTTGCAAAGCAGGCGCTTACGCCGTTGAACTAAATCCCCAGCCCTATACTTGTTTTATACCAGTTCATACTTCTATTCGCCCATCAATTTATTTTTTTCTACTTTTTAATGCTTTTCAAAGTAGATTTGCAGGCATCAGTATACTTTCGGTTAGGTATGTTTTTGATTCACGTTGTACATTATTTGAAGCTGAGATAGGAAGACGTAATTTCTTCAAGATTTTAAGTGCTAGAATAGGGTCTGGATCAAGACTTTCTTCACCACTTCTACAGAATGGTATATCACATAATACTAGTATTTATGGGAAAAAGTAATTTTGCAGCGAAATAAATTGACCACAGTGTCTCGGTGCTGAAGACTCATAGGTCTGTGAGGTTCAGCTATAGAGAAAGTGATTAAAAGTCAACCACTTCCAAATTCATTGGCCCAGCGTGTTCTACTACCCAGACTTCCCCAGACCATCACAACTATTAATTTCTAAGATAGGAGCAGAATTCAATGGCATAATGCTCATATAAGGTATCCTATTGTAATTTCAGTTACAATACATTTTTCCGGTTTATATTTTTAAATGTAGTCCTCACTGTTTACAGCTGGTAGGATCTTAGGGTTCAGAGGCCAGAGTGTTCATTCCAGAAGGAATACAGTGTGTGCCAGTGACTAATACTAACTCTGCTCATGTTTTAGTGACAGAAATGGAGCTAGACCTACCTAGCCTAGAACCCAGAGATGCCATTTACACACAGGAAATATTTGCTGAATAAATAAATACATCTTCTAAATCTGTCCAGTGTTCTTTTCATTACACATCCATGTATTACAATTTTTATTTCTTTTTGGACTATATTGGTAATAGAGATTGTTAATACTTTATGTTAACCTTTGGTACAAATAATTCTAGTTACTAAATTCTTTAAAAAGTTTTATGGTTATTTAAAACATCGAATTGCGCAAAGCATAGCTAAACTGCTTAATAAGTTATTGTAAAGTGATTTAAGAAATAGAACTTTGAAATCTCTATGGACTGCCTCGTACTGCTGAGCTACTAAGTTATTTCTCTTCTTTATTTTTTAGCTAATTTAACAGGACATACAGAGAAAGTGGGGATTGAAAATTTTGAACTCCTAAAGGTCCTAGGAACTGGAGGTGAGTTTTACCTTACTCCTTTTATTTTATTTTGTTTTTTTGGTAAGAATAAAAAAGTACTTTCTGTGACAAAGGATTGATATCCTTGGTACAATGAAAAATTTTAGATGCATGAGGAATTCAGTAGAGCCTGTCAAAAAATGAACAGACCACTCACAGAATAAATAATAGGCAAAACTTAAAGAATCTTTTTTACTTGGGGAATGTAAATTAGTTCAATATTTGCATAGAATACAGTATTTTTAAAAATTGTGAACATTTGTAGAGAGTTTGTTATATTTCAAGTACTCTGTGAAGTGCGTTATATTGATTGATTTATTCAGTCTTCACTCAGTATTATTGATATTCAATGTCCATCATTTTTAATAATGAAAAACTCAGAACTGTTTAGAAACCCAGCATTAGGTGTTTGGTTCAATGGAACATGGAGCTGACGTTCAATCATCTGTATATTCGGGTAGAAATTACCATATTTTTTTAACGCTTGCAGAGTTCTGCAGAAAAATTACAATAAGACTTTCAAAAAGGCTATAAAAGACAATGTACAAAATACTATTTTCATAATATGGACATTTATAGGAGCAAATGTGTACATGTATTGTGTGTGTAGAAAAATCTCTGGGATAAATAGCAGGTGGTAATGGTCTGTGGGTGATGGTTTTAGGTGATCTGCATTTTCTGGTACACACTTGCCTGTGTCTGCCAAAAACTGTGTCTGCTCCTGCTGCTCAGAAGTCAGAACTGGCTTCCTGGGCATCGACCTATGCAGTTGTAGGGATCCCCGCACTTAAAAGAGCTCTGTATGTGGCACAGTGCTCTGCTGTCACTTCTGAAATTCTTAGGTCATGAGCAAGGCCCTGCATATTTTCCTTTTGCCAGTTATGTGGCTGGTCTCATCAGGAATGTGCCTTTCCCTTTAGCTCTGCCATGGAATGCATGGCTCTGCAAGCACTGCAGCTGTAGGAGCTGGCTATTCTCAATTTTCTTTCTTCAGTTGAATGGCAGAGGAGGCTGTTAACTCTTTTCCATCCTCAGCTGGCCAGGGCTCTTTCTTTGAAAGGGGTTGGGGACCCAGAGTACACATCCTTTCTTCTCCAATACAGTTTAGCTTCACACCCTCAGAGATGTCTATATTTTCTAAGTTTCCCGAACTCTAACAGAGTGGATTACAGCTGTCCTTTGAAAGATATCTTTCTTCCCATACCTTTTTAAATGCCAAAGCTTCCAGCAAGAGAAAAATCTTTTCTTTTGGGCTTCCACCATCCATCTCAGCCACTGCCCTAGCCTCATGTACATGTATTTCAGTACATGTATATGCATGGTCTTTAGGTCCTTTAGAATGAGCTTTCATACCTAGGACCTGGCTATTCAAGGTTTATATAAACCTCCCTGAATAGTTTAGTGTTCTATGGAGCCAACTTTAAAGCTACCAATGAGTGAGCCTTATAATTTCTCAGCTATTGTTTTATTGTCAGAAAGCTCAGTGTCTCTTTTACCCCATTGGATCGTGTTTAGTTTGCAGTACTAGGGATTAAACCCAGGGCCTTAACATTGAGCCATATTCCCAGGCCCTTTAAGTTTTGAGACAAGGTCTCACTAAGCTGTCCAGCGTCAGCTTGAATTTGTATTCCTCTGCCTTGGACTTCCAGGGTGGTGGGATTATAGGCATGTGCAGCCAGCCCTGGCTTTGATCTTAAAGATGTACTTTTTAAAAAACAAAATTAACCCTACGTTCCCTTGCCTCTAAGAAAAAAATGCTTTCAGACTGTCTTTGGTTACTTTTCTCTCGTTCCTGGGACAAAACACCCGACACCCAAAATGAAGGAAGGAAAGATTTATTTAGCTCATCTATAGGTTTCAGTCCATAGTCAGCTGGCTGTAAGGCAGGGTGGCATGGCACAGGGGCAACACGTCAGGGCAGCAGCCAGATCAAAAAGAAGCCAGAGCAAAAAGGGGAAACAAGCCACTTCTCTTCCCTTGTAGTTTATGCAGGCCACCCCCACTCTCCAGGGTAGAGGTAGCACTCACAAATCTCCTTGCTCTCTTTGCACAGGATGAGAGTGCTGAGTCTCTCAGTTAAACTTCTAAACTTCTCAGATTGACATGGTGCATCAACCATAACACAGACTAGACAAAATGACCCTTTATCTCTACTTTTGTTTCTGATTTTGAAGGCACTATCTTCTCCACCAGGATGGAGGGATAGAGAGGAGCAGACCTGTCTGGTGATTCAGTTCTCTTGAAAATAGCGTTTAAGACAGCAAAAGATTTCAGGTCAATTTGTATTTCACCCACAGAATATATTTCATTTGCATGCCTATTTTGGGTAACATTATTGAGCTATAATTGAGCTATTATGTACATTATTGAGCTATAATATGAATTATAATTTCCATACCTTATTTCTCACCCATGTAAAGTGATTCATTGCTTTTGGTATATTCAAAGAGTTGTGCAGCCATCACCAGTCAGTTTTAGAATTTTTTTCCCCACAAAAAAAAAAAAAACCTTGAAACTGTTCCTTGTGACTTCTGAAGCTCACCACTCCTCAGCCTAAACCAAACACTAAACTACCTTCTGTATCTGTATCTTTCCCTATCCTGGTGTTCCGTCATACAATGTGTGTTCCTGGTGATCGGCTTCTTTCACATATCACCTAGTGTTACCTAGGTTCATCCACTGTAGCAAGTGTCAGTGCTTCATTTTCCATTTTTGGGTATTTTACAAGAAGTCATGTGTACTTTTTAATATTTTGAATGTAAAGTTATATATAGCCCCCCCTCCTTTTTTAAAAAGTCATTTAAAAATGCTTTTATGGCTAAATACCTTATGGAATGAATATGTCATGTTTTGCTTATCCTTTAATAGAGTTGTTTCCACTTTTTAATCCGTTACGAATAAATGCTGCTATGTACATTCATATGCATTGTTTTGTGTGAATGTTCGCTTTCCTTTCTCTTGGGTCTATCCCCTAGAAGTGAATGGTTGGTGCAAATAGAAGCTTGGTGTTTACCTGGTTGGGGAAATGCCAGCCTGTTTCCTGGAGTGGTTGTACCATGTTACAGTTCTGCCAGCATTGTGTGAGCATTGTAATTTATTTCTCCACATTCTTCTCAACACTTGTTTGTCTAACTTTTTAATTATAGCCACACTACTGGGTGTCAAACGACTTAGGTTAATTTGTAAGAATAAAATTCTGTCGTGCTTCCTGTTGTCCTGCGTAAGTGATTAGTTAAATTGTTCAGGTTAGCTCACTTGTTTTCCATTTTCAAGTGTTTTATAAAAAGTCAGGTGTACTATTAAATGTTTTCAGTGTAAGGTTATATAAAGTCTCTCTTTTTAAAAAACAATTATTCCACTGTTGAGTAATCCTTGATGTGAGGGTGGCCTTTTTATCTCTTTTTTTTCTATAGGTTTGGTTTAAAGTTGGTGAAACAGTGTGAAATCTGTGATGAAAAAATGTTATATGCATAAATTTAAGTTAGAGTCTCTACTGGTTGGTGAGTTTACAGTATTTTGGTGTTTTGAGAGCCTTCCAGCTAAACTGGGTTCCAGGGAAGCTGGATGTGGGTGTTCACAGGGTGCCTTTCACAGCATACTTCCTGATGGACAGCCTGACACGTAGTTGTCCAAACTATGACCACAGAGTCCTTCTCATGGCAAATTGTTTATAACGACAGATGCCTTGTGGACTTTGTTTCACCTGTGCCTACTTTATGCCTATCTGACCATTTTTCTGGTGCTTCATTGAATTTTATAGCATGTAACAAAAACCATGAAACGAATTCTCTTCCTCAATCTGTTAATTTCATGTGTGGCAGTATTTTCAGGTCTAGAAGTAAAAAGGTAGTTTTTCCTCCTGATTAGAGGACAGTTTAAATATGCTGGAATACCTCTTATTAAACTTGATTTTAAAGGATTCTGTTAAATTTTAAAACTCTGAAAGTCTGTATGTTGCTGATCAGCATAGATCATCTGGGAAGAATCGGAAAAATCAAGTCAAAACAAGAAAATGGGAGTGGGAAATCTAGAAAAGTAAATAAGTAGAAAGCAGAGATTATGCTTTGGAAATCTACTAGTCAGTTGTGAACTAGTTCTTTGGCTTTAACACTTTCATACTTGATATTAGAGACAGCATGTAAGGCTCCTAAGAGGTAAGGATGGTTACTATTCATCAAAGACTAAATGAAGAAAAGAAGTCTTGTCTGCAAAGAAGATGACAAGGAAACTTTTGTGGCTCAGCATCAACTCTGGAAGGAAACAGAAATAAAAGCCTTCCGTGAGCAATTACAACCTCAAGCCAGGTGCATATATGCATTTTTGAATTATACCTGTACAGACAGACAGATAGACACACACTCATACGCGCGCGCACACACACACACACACACACACACACACACACACACAGAGAGAGAGAGAGAGAGAGAGACAGAGACAGAGGGAAAGGAAGGAAAGGGAAAAAAACTCAAAGAACCGTGAACTCAGCTTACTTCATTCTGCATGTTCTCAGGTGTGTAGCAAAGGCAAATATAAATTCTCTTTGGAGAAATAAACGCTCATCCAGATCTTAAAGAATTGCCAAGGAGTTTAACAGGTATGACCTTACAATTAAAAATCCAAGAAGCAGGGAATTATGAGTGAAATGGAAACAAAGCTGAATTAGATCCAAAGAGACTATTGGACTTACTGGATGTGAAATATGATACAAATGCTTACGTATTTGCTTATTTTTATTAATTTTTTTGTGGTGCTGGAACCTTACCCCATGCTAAATTCTCTGCCACTGAGCTAAATCCCCAGACATTAAATTATTTTTTTTAATTTTATTTAAAGAAAGACTAAACGAAACAGACAACGGGTAGAAATAATACATACTTTCAAAGAAAAAATAAACAGAAATCACTAGTTGATGATTACATATTGTCCTCTTACAAATAGTTGTTCAAGATACAAAAGTGAAACATACAAAATGGGGATTCAGACAGCAAGACTGCAAA